GACAGACACAGGTGTGAGGGGCGGGGCCGGCACAGGTGTGAGGGGACCCAGTGCGGCTGCGCGGGGCGGGGCCGAGGTTATTTAATGCCCGGAAATTGGCGCCGCCGCCATTTTCTCCACAGTGCGCGGTGGTGGCGGCTGCGTCGGGTCCGGGCTCCTCCGGGGCCCAGGTGAGGCTTTTCTTTCTACTTCTCTCTGCTTCTCTCTGCTTCTCTCTACCTCACTTTACCCCTCTCTGCTTCTCTCTACTCCTTCCTTTCTTCCCTTCCTCGCGTCCCCTTCTTCCCCGAAACATTCCGCTTCCTCTTTCATCTCACCCCACTGTCCCCTCCTTTCCTGTAACGCACCCGCCCATCCCGTGGCCCTTCTGCCTGCCCCCTCCTCACCCCACTGCCCGACCTGACCACCGCCTCTATTCCCCCTCTGTTTCTCCTTTCTCTCTCCTCTGTTCCCCTTCTGTTTCTCCTCTATTTCTACTTTGTTTCTATTCCCCCGTCTCTTCTCTATTCCTCTTCTGTTTCTCCTCTATTCTCCTTCTGTCTCTATTCCCCTTTGTCTCTCCTCTATTCCCCTTCTGTTTCTCCTCTGTTCCCCCTCTGTTTCTCCTCTATTTGCCGTCTGTCTCTCCTGTATTCTCCCTCCTCTCTTTCCCCTCCGTGTCTCTCTCCTCTATTCCCCCTCCTCTATTTCTCCTCTCTCCTCTATTCCCCCTTATTCTCTCCCCCTCTGTGTCTCTCTCTTCTATTCCAACTCTGTCTCTCCTTTATTTTCCTCTGTCTCTCTTGTATTCCCCCTTATTCTCTCTTCTATTCCCACTCTGTCTCTCCTGTATTTCCCTCTGTCTTTCTTCTTTTCCCCCTTATTCTTTCCTCTATTTCCACTCTGTCTCTCCCTCTATTTCCCCTCTGTGTCTGTGCTGCCCTTACCTCTCACACATCTCCATCTCTCCCTTATCTTGTCCCCTGTCCCCTTGTCCCCCCCTGTGTGTCCCGTGTGTGTCTGTGTGTCCCCTTGTCCCCCAGTGTGTCCCGTGTGTGTCTGTGTGTCCCTTGTGTGTCTGTGTGTCCCCTTTGTCCCCCTGTGTGTCCCGTGTGTGTCTGTGTGTCCCCGCAGCCGCGGGGTTCGGGGCGCCGGATAATAAAGGCCGAGAGCCCGAGCGGCGCCCCTCCCTTGAGTCCCCACCCGGGGCCGGTCCCGGTGCCGCTGTGCGGGCTGGGACCCCCCATTCCGGTGCAACACACGGCCCGACACTGCCGGGGGGGTTCGGCTGTCCCGACATCACACTGGGGGTCCCGGGGGCGGGGCTGGGGGCGGG